GGTGTTATCCATGGATGATGAACAAGGATCACTCAGAAGTGTTCGTCTATGCTCTCGTGTCAGGCGCTTCAGTAGATTACTCCTGCTATTAACAGCAGCTGATAGTTTTTACATATTACTGTAATGTTCTTGTCTGCTTGTTTCAGAAAAGTGAAGAGACGGGAATATGTCTATTTCATAAAACAGGCCCTCGCTTCAGCCGAGTCCGACATCTTCCGCTTTAGAATACGACTATGCAGCAAACTGGCGTGAAATGACGCGCACCTGCACTACAGCGACGTTAAAGCGGCAGAGTTTACTTTTACCTTTAGAAGACAAATTATTGAAATTAAATAATGATATTCAGCGAGTTTAATTATTTTACAATGTAACGCAAATACATTGTAAGTAACTAATTAAAATACCTAAAAATGAACAGTAATCAGTTACTCTACTTTTTCAGTGGAAAAGTAATTTAATTACAGTAACGCGTTACTTAATAATGCGTTACACCCAACACTGTCTGACGATATATTACAACTGCTTTCTTTATAATTTCTTTAATGTAACAAACGAGATGGATCTTTTCCATGCTGAAATGCTATCTGTCTAGTGTCACTTAGATCAATTTGATTCATTTCTTCTTGCAGGCCTCTACAATTCAGAACGCTTTCCATATAACACCTCTAATTGTTCTCTAATGCCGTGTTACTTCCCACGATGCATTTCACGGACTTGGTGCAGGTCTATCCAATTGCATCCAGAAACATTGTGTACATTGTCTACATCTGTTGTTAACACCCCCTGGAAATCAAAAATGGGTTGAGGCAATCCAGACTATTTGCATTCACACATTTGTCATGGTAAACTTCCAACTGACCGATGTCAAAGAACTACTCAGCTCTCCCAGTCTCAAACATAAGCATGTGCTCATGCCTGTTGTTATCGTGCCAGCACTGCTCTGGAAATATTACCACTCTGACGTCCACAGCGGCTTGAAGTGTTTGCAATCAAATACCTGCCTGTGAACAAGACTGACATCTGCAGCTTAATTTTGAATCACTTGATTGTATTTGTGGGGAAAATGTGGCCAATAAGTGTTGACATTTTCATCTACAATCGCCTCTGTTTTCTTTCCAGTCTTTACCTCAAATAGGCTGGCTGAGCATGCATGCCGTTTCTCAGCAACACACTCGTTCATATTCACAGTTTGACAGATTCACACCCACAGTCTTCTTCCACTGGACCGGCTCATGGGCATCTGTGTGGCAGCAGTTCTCATTTTCACCTTCCAGACTGTTCTCCAACTGGTTCATCATGAGCTCCACCATCCTCTGGCTAACAGCTCCCACTGATCTACCTCTAGGCTACAGGTTGATGTCTTTCGCACATATTTTCATGCCAACATCACCTCATCTTCTTCTCCTCCAAAAACATCACAAACTTGCACAGCCTTCATCACTCAGGCTCCTGCCAGTCCAACACTCAGGTCTTCGTCAGGCCTATAATTATGTCTTAGTTGTCTGCTTTAGCTACCTTGGCACGATAGACTATACAATCATTTCCAAACTGAATATAAATAATAGAATTTCTGAGGTAGTACTGCAAAAGTTCAAACAACAGCCTCCTATACACGTATCATCCAAGGGTCTGACATGTTCAATCCAAAGTGTTTTTTGAGTTTGACAGACATCCAGACAAAAAAAAAGCCTCTTTGCACCTGACATTACCTGAACAGGCATAATGAACTCATATCGAATAGTGAACAAGAAGAACTTTGGATAAACTGATAAATGGGATTATTAATAACTTGCAGAGCTACACCTAAAAGTACAGCTGCTCCAAATAAATTAGTTCTTAGAGCTTATCATACTTATCTTTGAACACGAATATAATTGTCTTGTGCATGCAAGTCCACTGATACGTGAAAAAATACACAGAATAATGCCAGAGAAAATGCTTTCCAACTTAAGATCTCTTAAACACAGACACCAGCTGGGAAGACAGAAAGTAACAAAAAAAGAATAGTGACAGAGCTAAGACCATCATTTTTTTTAATGAATGCTGCAGTGAACAGATGCTGCAGATGTGGGATGGAAGATATGACGAACTGGGGAGAAGGTGATGCAAGAGCTTGAAAATCAGCACCAGTACGACGTCAGTCTGTATTTGAGTTATTGGAAAGGCAGGTTTGTCTTTTACTAGATGCTTTGATAACACAGATTGAGTAGTTACGATTTACTAGTTAGTTCTAAAGTCAACAGTGCTAGAAAACTCTGCAAAATACTGGCAACAGCAACTAGGACTCCTCACCCTCCTACCAGATGGTATCCTAAGTGACTTCCTTCTCGAGTAATTGCATACACAAGATTTTCAAATGACAAGTGAACTGACCTTAAGGTCAAGGTCACTGAGATTCAAACAGAGATTTTTAGTAGATATCAATTTGAAACCACCGATATATTTCCACACCTAACACACCGATAAGTTTGACCATATCAGCCAGGGCTTATAGAGAGCTGACTGGTCCATAACATAATTTTGAACAGTAGGCAACATATTTTCCATCTTGGGGAATCATCAAGATTTGTTTTTGGCAAATGTGAGATGAACCTTTGTATTATTTTGGTTTGACAGTGGGGTTGTCCTTGAAACTCTTCCATGGATGCCATTTTTGCTTAACTATTTCAATGTACTAATGTGCACTGTTTTTTGTTTTCTTTTACAACGTCCTGGATAAGTCCTGGATAAGTCGTCAATGTTTTCTTGGAGTAATTTTGGAAGCCCATTCACTCCTGGGAAGGTTCACAACTGTTCAACTATATCTATATATCTATCTATCTATATATCTATATATCTATATTCAGGGGTAAATACTTTTTCACAGCACATGAACATGTTTGAATTCCTGGAATGCATAGATTTTTGAACTAGTAGGTAATGGTTCCCATGCAAGTCAAATAAGTATGTCGTGACCTCAATTTGTTAGTCAGAACAGTCAGTATAGCCACCTCCACCTCCAGGTTTTATAAAACATGAAAAAAAATGATGGTGATTGGCAAAATGTTCAAATTGTAGCTTAAAAGAGGTAGTTTCCATAATAGTGAGTAACATCACAGTGGGTAGATCCAGTTTTTATTTAAAGTCTATTGTGCGGAAATGCAGAACTATTGGGTAAATGTTTCGCTATTTGAACTTGGACCAAAGTAGTGGCTTTATCAACCCCAAGGCTAAAAATGTCATCCTTATAGCTACTATGGCAGCTTGCCTGAAACACACAAGTCTAGAACAACAGGAGAAGACAAGCACACATGGAGGCACTAAAGTACACTTGCGCATATGCATGCAAGTGTACCCACTTTCCACTAAATTATAAAAGTGAACAGAGGTTACGGTCAGAGGTCGGAGTGTGGGGGGTGCTTGGGATCAGTGACCAAAATCCTGCACCATCATCCCGTCTGCTTCCGGATCTGTGTATCCATGTATATGTCTGTTTGAAACAGGCAGGAAGGCATGCCACTGCAGTAACCAGATAGCAGGGTGTGCATGGCCATAAAAAAAATCCAGCCAGGTCAAACAGTGGAGTCATTACTCTGATTGAGAAGAGCGATTAGTGCTGTCTGGTCAGCAAGAGACCAGAAAGAAACTTTTACTTGAAAAACATCTGTCGGGAACATTTTGACAGGTTCAGACACAAGAGTCCAGACGCGCACACAGAATCGTTTCCACTGTCCAATAAATCTGACCAAAGCAGACTGTATTTGTAGGAATGAGTCCTCAACAAATACAGAAGACTACTACTTCTACTATTTGTGCTCCAGTGAATTCTGCTCATGCTTTCAATTTTTAGCATTTCAGAGAGTTCATATGCTCTAGAAAGTGCCAGAGACACAGGCTTCTTCAGCTTGATTCATTTTCACACAGATCTGTGGCAAAGATGGTGACTAAACTGTCTCTAACACAAACACACAACTGTTCTGCTTTTCTAAACCGATGACTTTAATTAGATGCCTTGGACTTTCTTTTTTCTTTTTCCCCATCCCCAATCATCCCTGCTCCTGCCGTCGTCTCCTTTTTCCCCTGGTCACGGATCAATGGCACCTCCCCAATTCCCAGCCCCCAGGGAGAATCAACTGATGCACACATACGCACAAGGAGCCACTAAACATTCGTAGAGCTTCGTCTACAGAAGCGGACAAGAGCACAAAAATATTAAAGCTATATGACTCAGAGTTACAGGTACAAGTAAAAAATGTTATTCATTTGGAACGCACAACGCAAATCAGAACATGACTCTAATAATGTGTTTCACACTGAAGGACCCAGAGTCCGTGCTATTCTGGAAGTGAATGTTCAGTTCTTTGTTCTGCTTTTTCAAGCTCAAAGTGAGGATCTTTAGCTTTTACATTAAGCGGGAAATTTGTTGTGTGCGTGTGTTTGTGTGTGCTTGTGTGTGTGCGTCTGGCTGAGGCCCAGGCCTGCTGAATCCCTCTGGACAGCAGAAGTTGTTTCCTGATTGCTCATCTTCTCAGTAGAAAAGTAGCTGCATTGTTTTACTTAATTCTTCCATCAACCATAACCCACACACACGCTTACCATTTAACCTTTTCAGAACAGAAGCTGTGTGTGTGTGTGTGTGTGTGTGTGTGTGTGTGTGTGTGTGTGTGTGTGTGTGTGTGTGTGTGTATGCTGTATCCCACTCGAGCCAGATCTAATGAGACAAAAACCCCTGGTCAGAATGGAAAGAACCAATCAACCAAACGGCGTCTGCTGTCTGCTGAGTGTGTGTGTGTGTGTGTGTGTGTGCGTGTCAGTGAGAATGAATGGGAGAAGGTGTGCAGGCGTTGAAGTTTGTGGTCAATCTGAATCGTTTGAGCTGCAACAATTGATCCTGACCTGGTGAAAATATTTGCCTGAATATAAAAAAAAAATATGAATAATTGCTCACACAAAAGCCCATTTCAATGACTTTTGAACAATTTTAGTACCACAGACTACAGATAGTTACCCAACGAAATGGTGGAGACTGATGAGTCCGCATCAGTGTGCAGTCATTGCAAATGCAGATTTTGTTATTACTAAAGACAGCTAATACAATCAGCTCTCATCTAAATCTTTTACGGTAAATTATTTTTGTGAGGTGATGAGAGACGACATTCTTGCATTCTGTTTGTTTCTCTTGTTTCTACTGTTTCTGTTCGTCTAAAGTCTGAATCAAGCTCAAATCAGACCTTAGCGACTGAACAGCTTCCGTCTATTTTTCCATATATTTTTTGAGCTTCTCTTACAGAGTGAATAATGTGGGGAGTAAACTATTTAAATGAATCACAAAGACATAATTTGATAAGACAAATTCTTCTTTTGTGCTACCAGGAATGCATAACTATTTGGAATGATGTGGGAGATGATCAGAGCGTAACTAGTGGATATGAAAATGCTGTGAGCCTGAGGTTTAACACAGACACCTGCATATTTATCTATTTCATTTGTATTTCCTTTCCTTTTGGGAAGCTTCATTATAGCATCAGATCTATTAGACAATACTGTGCGCAAAAGTCTTGAACAACACCTCATTTCTTTATTTTGTGCCAAACAGGGGGAAACGGCTGCACTATGCCAAATTACACAAGAACATTAGTGGCAACAGGTCTTACAGAGGGATGAATTCAAACTTGGGTCAACATTATTGAAGCAATGTGGGATCATCTTGACAAAGAACAGACCAAAAGTCAGCCAGCATCCAAAGAAGAACTTTGAATATCCTTCAAGTAGTCTGGAGAAATACTTAAAGACATCACAAGAAAGCTAAGAGAGTTCAGGCTTTATTGAAGAATAAAAGGTGGCCGTACTAAATATTGACTTTCAAGCTCTTCTCAAATATATACAATTGAGACGTGCGCAAGACTTTTGCACAGTAATGTACATTTAAATGTGTACCAACACAGATTTCTTGAAGTGACTCATATCTGGAGCTACAATCCTTTCTGAATCTTGTAAACCACGACTGTCACTGAATGCGTTTCACTGTTTGCTTGCTGCCCACAGAAAAATCAGATTCAAGGTGAACAGAACAAATCTATTCACCTTCAGCTGGCTGTCCTCAATCAGTGTTGCCATGCTGCTTATAGAAGCATCTGTAAAATCAAAAGCAATAAACTCTGACACCAGGACTGTCAGTGGCAGAGGAGTGTAAGCATGCAGCGCATGTACCTGAGATGAAGGTCCTCAGAGTATTTCAGACAAGCGTAGATGAACTCTTTTAGCTGGCAGTAGACTTTTGGCACAAACTCTGAGAAGGGAAGCTTCTTTGGGAAGGGAAGCTGGAGGAAATGGGGCGAAAAATAAGAGATTAAGTGAGATTTTACTCAAACACAAAAGCTAACTTGAGCAAGTTCAAGCATAGAGGTAGTTTTTTCTTGAGAGTTCCTAAAGGGAAGAAGCTTTTGCATGGAAGAAATTAAACTGACATGACTGCAAGAAGCAACATGCAGTACTTTTCAGGGTATATTTTCTCTTTTTGCACACTTTTATATCATCTATGTTCTCTACCTTTTCCAGTTCGGGGTCTTGAAAGGGACACTGGGAAGTGTATTGTCTGTACTCCTCCTCCGTTGAGACTGGGATTGGACTGTAGTTGTCCTGGTCTATCACCTGCCTGCAGAGGGCAAAGAAACAAATAAATCAAAGGTAAATAACTTCCCATCTTCTCCAAAGAGGTCAACACACACCCACACCCACAGAGGATGCATATAAACAATCATCCCATTGGGGGTCGTTTTAATTCTTGAGGTTTTCTTACCACCCTGCCCTCTTTCACCACCCCCGCGTCTTTTTGGCACTCCAGAGTTCGGACGTTCCAGCGTTCCATGGAGAGGCCGTGAACCGGAGCGCGCTCTCTCCCTCTCCCCAACAATACAACACAAAATTCCTGTGGCTTCCACGATGTGTGTGTGTGTGAAAGAGAAAGATGGAGGAAGGAGAGAGGGAGTGTGTGTTTGTTTGTCCGTTCTCACTGCTGCAAGTCCCACTGGTGTCATTGGACAAAAGCGGTGCTGAAACAATGGCACGTTTAGCCCGAATACAAACACGCACTCTCACACTCAGAGTTTTGTAGGGGGTAGTACCCATTGAAGGGCAGAGAATGTTCCGGACGTTGTTTTAAAACACTTCCTCCCTCTGGCTGGTTGTAAAACTTCAAAACCAGGACGTTTCCCACAGACATGCGCTGCTGCACAAATATGTGTGTGTGTACGAGCTTCATGACCGTATCGTTAGAGAGGTGAAGGTCAGTGCGGCACACACTGGAGTATTTAGAACCCAGCTACTGAAAAACAGCTATCAGGAGAGCGTGGAAACAAAACGTTCGCTACCTGAAGGTGACATTCCATCTCTTGAGTAAGATTTCTCCGTACTGCTCCCTCATCTCCAGCAGCATGTCAAACAGCTGAGACACAGGGAAACCATAACCCTGCAGAAGGGAAAGAAGAGCAGCTGCATGTGAAACCATGGTAAATGGTCTGGTTCTTATATGGCACTTTTCTGCTCTGAGCACTCAAATGGTTAACACAACTTGCCTCGTTCACCCACTCACACCCATTTACACACTATGTTGTTTTAACATAAGTGCTTCTATCTAACATTCACACACATTCATACCCCGATGGATGCATCGGAGAGCAATTTTGGGGTTAGTATCTTGTCCAAGGATATTTCCACGGAGATTGGAGCAGACAGACAAGCCCAAATATTCATGCCTCCACCACTGTGCTTGACAGCTGGTATGAGGTGTTTATGCTGATATGCTGTGTTTGGGTTTCTCCAGATGTGGCACATGTGGTTTGCTAAGATGCAACTTTGCAAACTTAAGCTGTGCTGTCACGTTCTTTTCAGAGGGAAGTGGCTTTGTTCTGGCAAACCTTCTAAGCAGGCCATACTTGTTTAGTCTTTTTGTAACTGCACTGTTATGAGCTAACTGAGGATCGTAAAGTCTAAGCTGCAGCTCTTGGGTTTTTTGCAGTTTCTCTGAGCATTGAGCGATCTGACCTTGGGGTGTTTTTACTGGGACATGTTCCTGGGAAGATTAAGACAGCACATAGCTGGCTAACAGGGCTGCTGTCTGACAAGACTTCGCTCTAGGAGGACTTTAAGTTGATACAGGTGGATGAGATTAAACACATAATTATTTGATTTTTCAAAACAATATTTTGCATCAAATGTCTGAAATGTCAAAATAAAGACTGATGGAAGGACCAATTAAAATGAGGTTGGAAAACAACATGCCTTCAACATAAGACTGAGAGTGTGGTATAAAGAAAACCCAAGGTATAGTTTCCTCTCTGCTGGAAGAAATACAGAAGAATTCCAAAAAATAATAATAAAATAAAACAGAAACGCCCTCAAACATAAACAATGAGTAGAAATTTAGCCATTCAGCAGCACTTCATCTCTGTACATGAATGACTTTTGGACATCGAACCACACATTCATCATTCCCCGCCTTTAATGTGCCTCACTCTTCTCTGAATGTTTCTCCCATCCGGTTTTCACCCACATCCCTTCTATCTCCCCTTCATCCTCTCATACATCACACTCAATCCATCCAGGCTAGTTCATAAATACAGCCAGAAAATAAATGGATGGCGCGCAAACTGACAGCACATGATTAAGGTCCATTTCTAAAAACGGACGAATTAAGACAGAAAGTCTCTTTTTTTTTAAAGAGGCTGGCAGCAGTCAGTTTTGTAAAAACTACAAAACATGCTTTGAACAAGAATCACGGGCCTCTGGGGTCAAATATCTTAGGAGACATGTGCCAAGATAACTGAACAAGAAGTACAAAAACACAACAGCATTTCATATAGCGTGATGCGAAGGGGAACGAGAGGATTTCCTTCCTTTCGAAGTGAAATATTAGGAATTAATCACACACATACCTGCAGAGTATCAGCAAACAGGACAATGAGGTTCTTCAGATCCAGCACCAGGTCAGGGTCGTCACAGTATGACTAAGGAAACAGGAGGGAGGGGTGTGTCTGTGTCATTTCAGACTTTTGTGGAAACATGCATTTCGTATTTAATGAGTGTGTGTGATTCGCCTCACAGAGTGCGTCCTCAGGGCAGCGACTATTTTGGACAGCGCCAACTCCCAGAGCTCCTCTACGTATGCTCTGTTGACCAAACCCTGTGTGGTGTGCAGGACGTGATCCTCCACAACAAAGAAGCTGCAAGCGAGGAGAACAGAGAGACAGATGGAATTACTTAGGCAGTTTGGTAAATATACCTAATCACGCTCCTGCCAAAAGTAAGAGGAGGAGAACAATACCACTCCTGCTGGAGCCAGGACATGGTTAGCTTAGCTTTGCATAAATACTGAGTGCCGGGCTATGTCCAAATCCACCTAGCTCACTGAAGCGCACTAATTTGCATGTTATATTACAGTTCAATATGCACAAAAACCAGGAGGTTAGGTGCCAGAGTGTTTCTACCATTACTATCCAAGAAATAGCTTGGCCTGAAACCTCCAGCGCAACAGCAAATTGTCCTTGTTACACTTCAGATTTTGTACAAATTAAATAAATGAGATATAACTTGAAAAATATTTGAGTAGGAGTATTTCCTGGATTCAAATTGGATTTGTCTTAGGTGCACTTTGGAAGGGATATACAAACAGATTTAAAGGGACAGTCCACCCGTAAATCAGATTCACATATTTGGCAGAATACTGAGCTGCAGTGACATTTATCCTTTAGACTGCTCTGGAGTTGGCTGCCCAGTTTCTGATATATGTGCTGTAGAGAAGTCTGCCTCCTCTTGAATGTTACAGAACTGAATTGTGCTTTCTGTTTAGTCCCTTACGCACCACAAAAAACAAAAAAAAGACCTAAAATCTTAGCAGCAATGTCACAAATCAAAGCCAGTGATACAAAACCTTCCGTTGTTTTGTGCAGGAGCTACTTTCCTTCTGTTCAACTAGACCTGAAAATCAGTGGAAACGTGCAACTGGCAAAACACTGAAGCAGCTAACAGGAGATGCCACTAATGTTTACGTGCCATTTCTTACAGATTTTGTTGCGGCAAATCAAATATGACAGTTAAAAGAAGTTGACTTGTTACTATTGAGAACAACGTCTTTATAAAGAAGACTAAACATTAAACATGTTCAGCCTGGTCAAGATGCTGCGTCTCATAAAACTCATAATGAAATTCTAGTACTAGTTTCTTTTGATAAGGTATACAGCGATTCTCTTCGGATGGAATACGGCAGCACACGGTGTTCCAGGTTATCCTGTAGACGGCGAAGACAACGACGACGGAAAAAGATGAAGAAAAAAAAAAAAGGAAATAAGACAAGGACGAGTTAAGCAGCTGGAGACTAAGCAGATGAAAAAAAAAGAAGACCAAGACAACAAAGATAAAGAAGAAAGCAAGAAAAAAAACTACTTGTGGGAGATGGCAACGAGTCCAGCTGTGTGTTAGCTGTACTCAGACTCAGTGGTAAGAAAGTCTTGGAGGATCAAGGGATACTGATTCTAATACTGCCTCTTGCAAATATAACAGTACTGTCATGTTTTCCGGACCAAGGTTAGAAATACTTTCACATAAGCGAAGCAGTTAAAAGACCAGGATCTAGATTAGGTTTCACTTTATTAATCCATCTGCTGCTCTTGACAATAACTGTATTTTCCATCATGTCAAACAGAGAAATGTGAAATCTGGTTTTCATAAAAATAAAGCTGCTGATCTTTTCTATGACAAATGGTTTTCTTTGGTTCATCTTTCTCTTCATGATCCATTTTTTTTCTACAAGATGTTTTTGTGGAAAACAATCCTTAAAATCAGCTGCAAAGTGAATTAAAAATAATTAGGCAATAGGAACGCAAATGAAAACATGTTTCTGGACTGCACAGGAAGGGACTGTTCAGAGATATCCCCAATCTCAAATAAAAGACAAACACTTGTGTGGCTTATTTTCACCCTGAGATTACTTTGGGATGGTTTGAGTCAATTCTGACAACTTTTCCAGAAGAGCTGCCATGTTTCTCTGATTTAAAATCATTTGCAAGTGCAAATGACAGCCAGGCAAACGGCGCATTTGCCCAGCCAGGCGTGCGAGGATGCTGATATCTGAGCACAGCAACAAACCCGTCAGTCACACGTTGTGCTGCTGTCTTGAAATGATGCCTGTGTGAAACGGATCAAATCGCCTGCAAAGTGACTTTGGTTTACATCCACTGACAACACGTCTAACTCAAACCAGTGCCCACCGAGCACTGCCAGGCCACAATGAGCCGCACTGCGGTCGGATCAGTGGCCCGGCTATGCATGGTTACTTTTCTCTTTGCTATTCCTGAAGGGAATAAATATGATGAGATTCACTCTTCAACAGATTTTTACTTTTTCCAGCTTTTTCTTCATGTAAGAAACTAAAAGATTTGTGCACTTTTTTATGGAAGACCAAGCAGCATCTTCTACCTGTTTGTACCACAGTGGAACAAAGCACAAATTTCCCTACAAATCCAACTCATTGAGAAAGAATAACTGTAACTTAAATGTGATGTGTTGATGTGTTGATACAGAACAGCTTCACATTTGAGAAGCTTTGCTTTTCATTTGATTTACATATATGTTGGATTTATGCTTTAAAAGCATCAACCAGAAAACACTTTGGTACAAATTCTGATTTTAAATGTACCACATCCATGAAAGTGATTTAACCTGATTTAGACACACAATTATTAGGTCAATCCAATTTACATATTAGATTTTTTTTTATCCCGTCCTATGGACAACTTTCTCCAAGCATCTATCTCTGCAGACTAACATTAACCCAGGGCCAAACTGTTCATACTGAATAAGGTTGCAGGTCGCTTAACATTTGCTATGGTGTCTCCACATCTAACACACATGCTCAGTGTGAACCTGTTTGGATCTGTGAAGAGAACCTGCCAAGTCTGAAGTTCATCAGTGACCTGCACAGATCCCACTCAATGACTTGAGGACCATCATGGAGTCCAATTATGAAAGTTTGGTGACACATGAACGTGAGTAGCACTGGAGGTTATTCTGCTGTACAGTTGTAAAGCTGTTCCTCCTTCCATGAAGGAGAAGATGATGCTGCAGCTGCTGGTATAAGCCCTTTTAAGCTCTACTCATGTAACTGCCCATCTACTGGTATCTCCTCCACACCTGAGACTGTGCTGGCAGAGACAGCAAACCTGTTGGCATGTAAGCATGTGCAACCTGTATGCCCTCCTGGTAGCAACTCATGGTAGCAGCAGGGAGAAGGACACTAATACCAAACCCAAGATAAGATGATAAGGACAGTGACTGTCCACCACCTGCAATCCATTTTTTAGAGGATTGTCCTGTTGTTACTTCTCCAGAGCAACGGTGTCACTTTGATTTGCTCCAAAGAAGCAAAAATTGCCTCACCATACTTCAAACGTCTTAACAGGACACACTGATATCGCTGAATTTTATTATTGTTGCACTCTGATGATCGGGTGTTGCATTCATTTTTTTGAACAGTGTACATACGTTTTTATTAGTTGCCCCATTTTTTAACTTATAACTGAGTTCATTACATTAATATACATTTCTCTGTTTGCTTATTCATTGGCTCATCAGTGAGCGGTATCATTTTCAAATGGATGAGCCGAGCGCCTCTGCTCTCTGATGAGTGTCTCCTGGAGGCAGCCATTCATATTGTGAGAAATCTTCAGTTAGTAAGTTGGAAGACAAACATGGTGTGATGAAGATTTTTAAAAATAAATTTTGATGTCATTTAATGCATCCATTTAATCTTTTTTTGTTGTTGTTATTTTGGCAGTTTCAGCCCCCATAAGTTTCCTCATATAAACACGCACAGTTACTAATTAAACATATATAATAACTCTGGTTTTGTGGGCATGCACAACTATTACATAAAAAAATAAATGCAGATAATAAAGGAAGCCTTAGTTGGAGTTATTTTGAAGGGTTTAATGTCAACAGAGAGCGCAGATGAAAGAATATTCGGGTGGGAGCCATGGATGAAGAAGCACTAGTGGATAACAGACAAAGGATGGCACTTTCCAGCACTTCAGATGGGAATAACAGACCTGAGGGTGAGTGCATGAGCCTGAGCTGATGTCCAGTGTTTATAGAAGCGTCTGCTCCAGCAAGACAGACAGAAGGAATAACAGCAACACGCCAACCGCCATCACACACACACTATCAATCCTCACTGCTGCGTGCATGTGAGGGAGAACGAGCGGACGTGTGTGTAGACGCAACATAGAAGTGGGACGGAGTGACGGATGAGAGGACAGTAAAGAAAAGGAGGAGGATGGGGTGTGAGTGGGGAAAAAAGGGGGGCAGGAATAACAGCAGGAGAGGAGGGGAGATGAAAAGATGTCAAATGGTCACAAGTCACTCAGAAGAAATGAAATGAGGTGCTGTTAAATGCTGAATGTTTGCTTTCACTCAAACGTTCCTCCGCCTCTGCCAAGGTACACAGAAATCTCACAATGAGCGGGCGGATGGTCGGTCGGTGGAAATCTGTTATGAGCCATTTTGAAAATATTTACAACTATTTCTAAACAGACGTTTTCATTCTGACCTTTTGGCAAAAGTTCACTTTCAATTAGGGTGAAATTAAAGAAGGAAATTAGAAAAACTTCAAGGAGTAGGAAATAAATAAAAGCGGGTGGACGAACTTACCCAACTATCTGATTGAAGTACCGCCGGTATCCCTCCAGAGTTTCATGCTAGAAATAAATAACAACACAAAGGCCAAACAGAGGGAGAAACAGGGAGTTACTAATAATGTGAAAATATACAAATATCAGAATAACAGGAAGCAAACTTATACCAGATTACTCAAATATATGCATCTAAATTCTTTGTTTTATGCATTAGCCACATCTGTTCATCATTTTCAAGTGGCAGAGACATTGACTGTAATTCTATGTGAGGTTGTCGTATTTTCCATCATAACAATTTTGTCCAACCACTGTTTATCTGCTTGTTTACAGGATAAAGGGTGCAGGCTTTATAATAGAGTCCTGCAACAGGAGGGTAATTACATTTAATTTCAGTGTATTTAATGTTCGCCTTCAAAATAAAAGCTGCAAATCTTGAAACGCTCCGGTTGTAGCAGTAAGGCAAAAGCTTTACTTTGAAGGTGAATGTTCTCAGTTTCTGGTTTGTGTTGCACTTTCTGCAGTTTCATTTCGTTGGGCGAGTATTTGCCTTTTGTTCTCAACACTAAACAAACTCATCAGTCCTCAGTTTATCGTGTTTCTGTGATCTTTCTACCTTAAGCCCAATTTTAAGGTGTCCAAAACAATCATGAGAAGGTTTCCTTTGCAGCACCATATACCTTTTTTTTGACCAGTTTAACCAGTAGAGTAGTATTTGACCAGTAGAAAGCCAGCCACCACAGGCCAACATGTCGAGGTATACATCGGTGGTTGCCAGGGGGTCACTAGCCAGTCTAGGCCTGTGTGACTGAGGCCTTGGCTGTTAAAACAGCTTGAGAGTGTGTGTGTGTGTGCAGGGCTAGGGTGGAGTCAGTGTAGTTAGGAGTGTGTGGACATAACAGTGCATCGAATAACACACAAAGTGAGGGTGCGGAGTCATACCATGTTAGAGTGGGGCTGCAGTACGAGACGGGCCTGTTTCCTCCTTTGCTTTCTGTAGTAGTTCTCAAACACATCACGCAAACCCTAAAAACACAAACTGGAGGTAAGAACGGCTGCAGGGATGGACTGCAAGTACAGCCTGTGAAGCGCCAACAACACAAGCATACAACCCAGTGTTTCAGGTTAATCGAGGTTGGTAGACAACAGGGGAAGAACTCATGTAATGAGGTACAAAATCAAAAGGGTAGACCCACATGAGGATGGAGAAGGTCATGTTAGTGCATACGTGAGTAAGAGGGAGATAGGGAAGCTGCCTTTGATGGCTGGCTAGCGTCACCGCTCAGACATCAAACTAAAACGTACCCACGCAAGAGACGCAGAATGGGCTGTCTAAACTTGACCATCTCGTATCTGTTCCTCCCATTACACTGAAGCTCTCTCGCCCTTATCTCTGTTGTGCTAAGATAGACCACAAGTCTCTCTCTCTCTCTCTTTCTCTCACACACACACACGTATCCAGATCCCACAGTAACCGGTGAGCTCAGAGATAAAGGCCCAGGAGTGGGCAGATAACATGACAAGCTCCCTGAGCTACTGACCAGACCAGCGCACGTATATCTACCCAGCTGACGTTGCTGTTGTAGGAGGTCAGATACAGGAATAAAAATACACCACAAACACAAAAACACCACTGTTTTACCAACTTTGACATTTGGCAGCTTCAAAAATAAATGAATACACTTTGTCTTTAATTATGACAACACAACTGCTCTGTTGGGAACATAGGGTGCCAGCATTCAAGTAGAAGTCACTTTGATATGCATATGCTCATGACAAAAAGCAACAGCATCACCAGGCAGTATAATATGCTCCATCGTAAAACAGCTCGGTCAGCACCGACCCAAATGCCACAGAGCATCTATTGGATACCCTGGAACAACTCCAGTCCTCGAGGCCTAACCCCACTGCCAATCACCTGGTCCCAGAAAACACAGACCGAGTGTGTGCTGTGTTCATGCTAGCCCTCCATCTGGGATCAGACAAACGATGTTGAAGGCGTCCCTCCTCACGGTAGTTTCTTTTGAGAAATATGAAATTTGTACATTCAGAAATTACATTTATGTTCATGTTCCCTGCAGTCCATTGCCTCAGTTATTTAAAGAGATTGGAATTTAATAAGGGCAGCACGGTGGCACGGTGGTTAGCACTGTTGCCGCACAGCAAGAAGGTCCTGAGTTCAATTCCACCATCAGGCCGGGGTCTTTCTGTGTGGAGTTTGCATGTTCTCCCCGTGTTTGCGTGGGTTCTCTCCGGGTACTCCGGCTTCCTCCCACCGTCCAAAGACATGCAGCTTGTGGGGATAGGTTAATTGGATAATCCAAATTGCCACTAGGTGTGAATGTGAGTGTGAATGGTTGTCTGTCCCTGTGTGTTAGCCCTGCGACAGACTGGCGACCTGTCCAGGGTGTACCCCGCCTTCTCGCCCTATGACAGCTGGGATAGGCTCCAGCGCCCCCCGCGACCCTGAAAAGGATAAGCGGAAGCGAATGGATGGATGGATGGATGGATGAATTTAATAATCAATACCATGATTAGCTTCCAACGTTATACTCTAATGCTGCAGCCACATCAGTTGTGATCTCATCATCTTTGAAACGGCTGCAACAACTGCCACCTTCAATCCGATTTCAGTGCATCATGACGGCAATGAAATGGCGACAAGAGTCAGTCTGCTGTTAGTTTCTGATTGGATGTGCCACTGCCTTAAAAGTAGCAATTAAAATGGTCGCCACAATTACCTGCGATCAGTCGCCAAATATGAATATATGAATAATATAATATGAATATGAATATAATACGATGGCCGTCATATTTTGACTCTAGTGTCTCTGAGCCATAAAGGACAGTTTCCTTTCTCGCTCTCCGTCTGTTGCCCTTTTGTATTTCTAAGGTTTGCAAACAACCTTGTCCTTCATGCTTTATCTGTCCGCGCTCCTTTTCAAAACTTAAATAAAGAAAAAAGAACATCAACAAAAAAGTATTTGTTAAAAAAAAATTAAGATCTAAAGTGCTGTATGTGAAAAATCGAGTGGATTTTGGCATCATGCTCAGCTACACTCTTTAGTCTTTCCCTTGATTAAACCGTGCCCTTTGAAAACAAAGATACCAACAAAACAATGTGGTGAATGGTAGAAATACAGCTCTCCCTGGTAGTGTGTCAGAAATAGGTTGAGCTTGTTTGGAGGTGACAAAACTGTGTTTTTTAATTCCCAGTTTGACCCTCAGTGGAACAATGTGTATTCAACAAATGAGAGGCATCAAACCGCTGTGAACTCTGCATTATACAGCGCTCGCTGTCCCTGAGAGAGCGTGAGCACGGGGTGAGAAACACGGGCTGAGATCAGCACGAGTGTTTGTGCGACAATATAACATCACCAGAGAAGGTGAGGAGAGATAAACGAAACAGAGAGGAGCTGAAAGAGAGAAGAACACCAGCAGGCGGAGCCAGCAGAGAATCAAAGAAAGAACGGATCAGACGGCACGAGGATCAGACGTGAATAAATTACAACAACATGAACCTGACAAAAACCTGCTAACAAAGAAAGACAGAAATGTTTCTAGTAACTGCTCACAGACTATTTATGTTCATGGCACCAGCTTTCTTCTGATTGGCTGCCCCACACAAACAGAGGGTGTGAGGAACTGGTGGGTGGGGCTTGTCTACTTCTGTGCTCCATACTGTCTGAGATGACCATACTGAGAATGTACCTGTTCACACACCAACTTCATTATGTGAATCTTTGTTTTATATGCACATCCGCCAATCAGCAGTGTAATTACAACAAAACAGTATAACAAGCCGGTTCCCCTCTTAAATAAACGACTACAGTCTCCCACTGGAGTGAGCGTGGCTGAGCATAAGTGTTCCACCTTTACTGAAGTAAACACATCTGCTTGCTAAAGGTCAAGAAGTCAGTCTTTTTTCACCTTTTTGATCTCTTTATAGACATTTTCCTCCACTATAGCCCAACATCCCATCACCTGAGCCCTTTATTTGAAACTTCAGCCCATGTTTATTATAAGCATCCAACAATAAGAGTGTTTACATGAAATACTTTTCATTTCTTTTTAAGTCTTTGAAAACACTGTTTGATTTCTAGTCTCAGTCACTAGTTTTATATCGTATTCAATACAAAAAAAAATTCATTTAGCAAATGTATAGCTCTTATCACACATTGCCCTCTACGCCCCTGTCTCCCTTTAAGAAAGGTAAAGAAGAACAATTTTGCAACTTTACATCTCTGGCAGGTTTTTCCAAACCGGAGGGGTAAGAAAGAAGGTAATGAAGCTTCAGCAATCTGTGAGAGTGACCGAGTCGGACCGCAATTGTTGGAGAGAGGCTAACTTCCACCGTGTGACCTGTGTGATTGCCAATCGGTGCTCAGAGGTTGAAGACGTTGCATGCTCAACCTCCACAACTATCTGGTGGCACCAGCGTAGGTAGTAGGGCTGAGCATGTGACCCAAATGCTGTGAGGCTATTGCAGAGGCCTGGATGTTTTGATGCGTGCAACAGCTTTCCTGTCAACTCAGAACTGTCCTGTCAAAATAAAGGCTAAAAAGTCCAGAAAAAAATGCTTCAATCTCCAAGCAGCTACATGTTTTTCCTAGTTGCAAAAGGGATGCTCGACTATTTTTACTTTATTTAAGAAAAACAAGCTGAGAAGGAGCAGAAGTAGTTGGTTAGAAGCAAGGGAACTTTCAAAATAAAAGACCTACTAGACGAATTGCCTGTATATGTTAATGCTCTCTAAAAAAACGTTTTTTTAAAGACTCAAGGATCTGTTAGAGCAGCTGCTTTGTTCCAGCTGTCGTGCTGTAGCTCAGAGTTCCCAGTCTGACCGGTTTGATGGACTGGCTGCTACCGCCGCTCACCTCGCCTCTCCTTCCCCTCGTCTCTGCCCGACACGCTGGGCTTTAGGCCCGTGTTTACATCCATCGCAGCTCTGCCCACATTTGTCAACGTGCGGTACGTGTGCGAGTGTAACAAAGGAGTATTGTTCGGGCTCGCCGCTGCTCCACAGCGGGTGGAAAATTGTGGGCCTTAAAGGTGGAAAAGGGAAAGCGGGGAGAAGAGTGGACGGGGGGGAGAAGAGTGGACGGGGGGGGGGGGGGTTGGTCTTGATTGCAAATGGGATTCTACGTCCAGGTTTGCTACAAAAATAAATGAAAGTGCTACAAGCGTGTGCCTGTGGAAGTACAAGACATTCTCAAACATTTAACAATCAGACTGTGTGTGTGTGTGTGTGTGTGTGGTTTTATTTTATTATATTCTAATGCTGCAGCCACATCAGTTGTGATCTCATCATCTTTGAAACGGCTGCAACAACTGCCACCTTCAATCCGATTTCAGTGCATCATGACGGCAATGAAATGGCGACAAGAGTCAGTCTGCTGTTAGTTTCTGATTGGATGTGCCACTGCCTTAAAAGTAGCAATTAAAATGGTCGCCACAATTACCTGCGATCAGTCGCCAAATATGAATATATGAATAATATAATATGAATATGAATATAATACGATGGCCGTCATATTTTGACTCTAGTGTCAGCCATAAAGGACAGTTTCCTTTCTCGCTCTCCGTCTGTTGCCCTTTTGTATTTCTAAGGTTTGCAAACAACCTTGTCCTTCATGCTTTATCTGTCCGCGCTCCTTTTCAAAACTTAAATAAAGAAAAAAGAACATCAACAAAAAAGTATTTGTTAAAAAAAAATTAAGATCTAAAGTGCTGTATGTGAAAAATCGAGTGGATTTTGGCATCATGCTCAGCTACACTCTTTAGTCTTTCCCTTGATTAAACCGTGCCCTTTGAAAACAAAGATACCAACAAAACAATGTGGTGAATGGTAGAAATACAGCTCTCCCTGGTAGTGTGTCAGAA